TATATATATTTTTTTATATTTTTTTGCATTTATTCCTTGACAAATTCATTTCCGGAGACGCACAATTGGGTATATATCTTTGTATCGATTTTGTATTTATTCAAAATTTAAATACTAATTATTCATTATTGTAGTTGTATAATCTTTTAATTCTTTTAATTATGTGTGCTTACTCAGAATTTATAAGAACAATGCTAAAGGAACTCGAGAAAATGCAGAGGCTTCATTCACTGTGTAAGTATCATGTATTTCATCTGTATGTGCTTTTCCTTTCTTTTATTTAGTGTTATTTATCAACTAGCACGATATTCGTGTACTACTAAAATAGTTAAATGTACAACAAAAAATGAAAAAGAAAAAAAAAATGTTTATATATTTTGTTAAAGTTGGATAAAATAAATAAGGAACAATATAACAATGTATTAACTAAGTGAATTAACAATATTATTTTAAGTTCTAAAAACTAATTTATATATGCCATTAGCTTTATTTATAGTATTTTTTTTAATTTAAAACACATTGTATTAACTAAGTGAATTAACAATATTATTTTAAGTTCTAAAAACTAATTTATATATGCCATTAGCTTTATTTATATTGTTTTTTTATTTTATTTAAAACACATAAGAGAATAATATGAACTAAACTCAAAATTTTGAAAATGAGATAATATGCACATTATAGAACGAAGATAATAAGTTGATTTTTATGGAATAGTGTAAATATATTAAATATATTTATTTATGGCAATTCAATCATAAACTTTTTGGTATAAAAAAAAAATAGTAATTTTTATCGAGCCATATTTACAATATTCGTCAAGCTGCTACTTAGACTTAGGCTCAGCGTGTATCGCAGGATTGCTTTGGTTTTTCATCACTGCTTGTGCTTCTCAATGTGTTTGTGTATTTAGAACTAATTCATCTGAGAGATAGGAGTTTTTTATGATCAAGTTTTGTAAAATAAAGATGATGTGATAATTTATTCGACATGTTTTAATTTATTTGCTGAGGAATCTAGTCATTTTTCCCCATGTAAAAATGTTGGTACTTTTGGCAGTAAAAAAGTAAAAACCATGTGATGTTATTCCTTTTGTGAGGGAGAGTGCAAGTGGAAGTATTTTACATCAATTGCAATTTAAGCACCGGTTTTCAATATTATTAGCAATTTAAGGCGCTGACTTTATAATTTTTGCAAGTCAAGGCATAGATCTAGATTTTGGTGACCGGTTAATAGCGTGTGTGTCATTAAGATGTCAAATTAGAAAGTTGTGCTTAAATTCTTTGTTTTGCAAGTAAGCCTGTTTAATAAGCAAAAATGATAAAAACGTCACTCTTATTCTATATCTATACACCAAATTTACATTCAACCACCGTATATATTCTGCTCTACAGTGTATTGAGACCAGGGCTAGCTAACGGGTCATCCCGCGGCCAGGGCCAGTCCGAGTGTGTTGTATAGACCGGGTAGCAAGGGACCCAGTCGACTCGGCTTTGACCTAGTCGACCTTGGCATTGACCCTGCAGGATCAACTCTGATTGACCCGACCATTAATTTGTGGTTACCTTTTTTGATTTTTAAAATTAAAATTATGTGTATATATATATATATGTTTATGTGATAATTTTTATGATTAAATACTATATTTATGATTACATATATATAATTTAGTTATATTATTTTATGCATTATCATTAAAATAATATAATATAGTTTTAAATTTTAGAAAATTAATTATTTTGTTTAGCAATGATCCAATGACCGGGAATCCAGCCGGGTCAATTACCGATCGGGGAATTAAACTATGTTGCGCATGTTATTGTTATCTAGGGGTGGGATTTTATACCCGGTAACCGGAGACCGAACCGGACCGATCCGAAAATAACCGGTTCGGTTCGGTTATTAACAAAAAAAAAAAAGTTTTTTCGGTTCCGGTTATTTTATGAACAAACCGGTTCCGGTTTTTGGTTCCTCTCCAAATGTTTGTGTATTAACTGAAAAACCGACTATATATATGAAATATACATGTTTTATATGTTTATATATATAAATTGGTTCCGGTTCTTGGTATATAATATTCAATTCCTCATTTTTCATTTCGGTTTTTCATGATACATTTAGCACAGGAGTTGCATTTTTTTTGGTCGTTTATTAACTCAAAACCGGAAAAACCGAACCGTTATAACACGGTTCGGTTATTTTTCGGTTCCTATAAATAATTGTGTAATAACCGAACCAGTTATTTGGTTCGGTTCCGGTTCCGGTTCCTGAAAAATTCGTTAGGAACCGGACTGGTCCCAGCCCTATTGTTATCATTGAATAAGTTTATTACTTTGTGTTGGCTTTTTGGGATAATATATAATAAACTTTAGTCAATAAGAATAGCTATTATTATTTTTTTAATCATCATATTTAATTAACTTGCCATCTTGATTCTTCTTCCTTCCTCATTTGTTTATGCATTAGCTAGTCTACTCTGAGTGGATATATATTAATTACTGGCAGCACTACCCACCGTCATTAACTACTCTGAGTGGATACGGATTTATATTAATTACTGGCAGCTCTACCAACATTAAAAAAAAAATATATATATATATCTTTTCTTAAAGGAGAGTTTTCCAGAAAACGAAACAAAACAAACAGTTAAGCTTCTTCTGTTTATAAAAATTGGTTAAATTTCAGGTAAAGCTTTAACTTGCAAGTGTTGTTTAGGAAACTGGATTTTCTTTGACGATTTTATCCTTACAGGCATGGATGATAATGGCATAGAAGAGAGACTGCTGCTTGTAAGCTCAAATGCAGATAAAAGTGCTACAGACTTGAAGGCAAGGATTTATGAAGAATCCAAGAAAATATGGAAAGTTGCAACGCCTAGCGTCATTTCGCGAGTGGCTTCTTTCGGAACGATAGTCGTAACTCAATCATTTATCGGGCACATAAGCTCAGTGGACCTTGCTGCTTATGCCCTCGTCCAAGCTGCAGGTGTCCGTTTCGTGAATGGCATATTGGTAATATTTTGAATTCTTCTTCACAAGCTTTGCATTGGACTTACTCAGAGCTTCTGTAGGGTTGAGCAAAATCGAGTTGAAACCGAAAAACCAAGCTGAATTGTGCAATTTGGTGTGGTTCAGTTTTTTTTTTTTTTTAATGTAATTTTTGGTTCGGTTTTTTCCTACATTGCGGTGCCATTATAATTTTTTATAAGTTGGGTTTTTGGTTTTGTTTGGTTTGGTGCGGTTTTGCACTGAACCGCACACCAAATTGAATAAAATGCATTGAGAAATCGTGATAAAACTGAAAACCGAGCTGAATCGTGCTTTTCGGTGCAATTCGGTTAAGTTATTTCAATGTAAAAAAAAATTGGTTCGTTTTCTATTTGATTTTCTCTAAATTGCAATTCGATTCGTTTTTTTTTTTTTTTTTTT